ATATATATATATATATATATATGGACACACGTGCATATATATATATATATTTGCACATATACATATGTATACATATATATAATGTTAGCTTTTTATTTGCTACTTTCTAAAATTTTTTCATGACAGGATATTATGCGAAATACAACCACAGTGGTGCTGAGATATTTGCAAAACTCCGAACCGCAGGTGTATGCGGTAGGGGACGAACACACTCTTACCCCTCCGGGGCTAACGAGCTGACCAGCAAACAATGCGGGTCCTTCGTTTCGCATGTCTCTCAGCTAGCTCTATCCATCGGTGCCATCAGAAATCACCCGTCAACGGGATTGATCTGTGCAGCCCAAATCTACATTGAACCCAGCTAAGCTGAGGCTATAATTGTAATCATAATGCTGATGGCAAAAAAGATCGATAGAAGTAGCTGAGATATACGCAAAGCGAAGGACCCGGATGGTGTAGTGGTGAAGTGCGCTGCTCCCCGGTAAGGACAACAGCGCGTGTTCGTTCTTCACTGCATACACCTGTGGTCCGGAGTTTTGCAAATATCTCAGCATTCCATACGTGTAATCATAATGTTAACTTTTTATTTGCTGCCTTCTAGAGTGACAGGCGAAGCGAAGGACTCGCATGGTGTGGTGGTGAACGCGTTAGCGCCCGGAAAAGGTAATAGCGCATTCATTCCTACCGCATAGCGTGCGATTCGGAGTTTTGCAAATATCTCAGCACCGTTGTGGTTGTATATATATATATATATATATATATATATATATATTCATGATAAATAAAGTATGGTATATTATATCGCACAGTGTATTTGTATGTTTGAAAAAGTATTTAAGTACATAATATACGGAGATACGTTATACGTACGTTTGGGTACGTAGAGGTGTAAATATTCGACTGAATAAGTAAAAAAAAGTGAAAAAAGAGGTTAAAAAAGCGAGAATGGGAGAGTAAGAAATAAGAGTGCACAAAATTAAACAGTTAAGTCCATGCTGAAATAATTGTTTCTCTTCCAACGGTTTACCGCCTCAACGTGGTTGGGAGGTGTTCCTGGATGTCGGGCTGCGATGTACAACAGGGTATTCATCCCCCAATAGGGTCTCCCAAGCTGAGAAGGAGTCCGGCATTTCCATCAGAAAGTCTGGCTAAGACTAAACCAATACTAGGATCCACCACCCTCCTGGTATCAAAGTCGCATGGTGGCCAATCTCGCTCTGATCGACAAGAGCAGCGACTGCCTGTGGTGGTGAAGACCTGGAGAGACTTTGACCAGGTTGACTTCGGGATTGCAGAGGACCACAATGACTTAGCCAGCAAATCTCCAAAAAATGGAGATTATTCTAGGACCTGTATAACCAGTGAGGACGGGCTATCCAAGTATCAAGTAAGTATCAAGTAACGATTATCTGACTTACCCTTAGGAATCACACAGTTTCCAGCAAGTTATTTAACCTAGCTATAGAAAAAGAACTGCTAGCGACACTATGATTTTCTCAGAAACAAGCTCTATTAAAATGACAGCCAGGAATTTAAGAAAATTATTTACCTGTAATGTAAGCCTTTGCAATAAAAGTGAAAGCACGTCGAACATTTTCTTGTAGTACTAGAAATCTGTACATAAAACGCTGGATATCGGTTGCAATATCAACGATGCGACGAAAATGAGTTTGTATAAACTCATGCGAGCCGATCTGCCCCACCCCTCAACGTAGTAGAAATCCATCAGACTTTAAATGTCGATTAAACAAGATATCGTAGAAACTTCGTGATTAAGTTTAGCACGCACTGTTCTGGCCCAAACGAAGCGATCTTTCCTCAGATCATGGTGTGGTCAACGGAGACAAGTGAATCACGTAGCACTACAGAAGGTATTCCACGGAACAGTTGGAGAAATATGATATACCAGAACACTTTCCGAAGCCGAGTTTGCAACAGAGTGAGATCGAAGGATGAAGAAAAAAAGACAAGAGTTCGGGCTTGATGGTATCAAAGTGGACAAAATTAGAGCCTATATTTTTATGGACACTAAACAGCCAAGAAAGGAAAAGAACGTAAAAAAATAACACAAATGACGGGCGGGTTACCTTGATATCACGATGAATCAGGCCGTGCTGGACGTACATCGCACACACGGAGTCTACTACTTGTTTGAAAATACCCCGTGCTGTATCTGGAAAGAAGTCTTTTAAGTTCAAATTACTGCGGTTATAAAGGGTATCGTTCGTTAATACTGCTTGAACATTATCGTTACTATTTTAATCATAAGATCAGAAACGATATTATCGAGATACCTTCGTCAAGTTTACCATAAGTGGATATCAAATCAAAGATGTCCATACAATTTTCTGGTCGCTCCATAACAATTAGAAATCCCTTCGAACTAGGAGAATATTTATTGATTTCTTGTTCGATCTGCCCGGATAGAAAGAAGGTCATGCTCACTTGGCAAACCAATCAATAAGCCGGATCACACCCGGTATGTCGCGACACGTCTCCAAATGGCATACCTCTGACGGCATGAGCTGACTACATGTCTAGAAAGAAAAAGCAGTATCGACAATGGTCACTCGGAAATTCAGTTGGCAATCGATTACTGAAATGGTCACGGTACCAAGGTCCATTCGCGAACGTGCTTGTGTTCGACGAATTTCACAGCTACTGGCAAGTTGTCGGAGAGTCGAACGGCTCGGTAGACAATACCAAATCCGCCTCGACTAATCTCTTCCATCACGTCGTATTGTCGTCGAAATTCTTTCGCTGAATGGGCTGAAATGAAGGATGAATAAAGTTATACTAGGAATAATGACAGTTTTGACGGTTGAATGCTGACGGCACAGATCGATAGAACTAGCTGAGAGACCGGTGAAACGAAGGACCCGCATGGTGTGGTGGTGAACGCGTTACTCCCCGGAAAGGACAATAGCGTGTTCGTTCCCCACCACAGACACCTGCGGTCCGGAGTTTTGCAAATATCTCAGCAATCCTGTGAATAATGACAGTATTTATAAAGGAATGGATAGACATTGGCAAAAAACTACTTCAGTAGAACATCATTTGATGAAGTCGTTAATAATAGTAAGACTGCGATAAATAGTAGATTTATGCAAAAAATTTTTTTATATGACTCGCCTTCACGTCTACTGTGCGGATCCCTGCATTTCTAATGTTCGATTCTTTCCCTTGTATCCACTGTCCACGAAGATCTTCCAACTGGCTTCGGCTGCTGACTGAGGAATTTCATTTCATCTTGAATGTCGTAGTATGGTGGTAGAGCACTTCTCCCTGGAGTCTTGGCATAGCGAGGCTGGAGCGTTCCCAATTGGATTGCTGAGGGTGATTTTTTCCGGTACCAACTTCCCGACCCCGGAGGAATGAGAGGCTTGGTTGACCAGGTGCGGAGTCGAACCAACACCATGCTCGTGATGGCGAGCATCACTACCGATGTGCTATCCACCCCCTACGAGCGATTTAGTAGTCCACAACAAAGGATTGCATTACTCTTTACGCTTTAAAACCCTGACTTAGTATGTCTTCACTACTATTTAGTTTTTGAATCTCAGAAACAGAAACACAATTAGCTCGCCAATGTTTTCACGACGAAGCTGGCTCAATAAACGACAACAGTTTCTCAATCACTAAAGCGTTGTAGAAGTCTATAAGTTTATTGCTTTATGGAAGAGACTTCAATCTATCGCAACAATCGCGTCTATCATTCTCATACAGTGTGCATCCAAAATTTTTACATATTTCCAATTGAAACTTTTAAAAAATTTCCAATGAAGTTTAGGTCTCTAGAATTTCAAATGGAAGAGCGGAAGCGGAGAACATAAACGGAAGCGAAACATATATAAACGAACAGCGTTGTTTTCTCACATTGCTTTGATAGCTCTTCCACCGTGATTGTACGCTCCTAGCATAATCTCCATTACTTCGAAGTTTTGCTGCTTTAGCCATTGTGGTTCTTTGGAGTCCTGAAGTCAGCCAGGTGGAAGTCTGCCTCAGGTCCTCAGCATCACTGGATGTCGCCGCCCTTCTGTATCAGAGGAAGATTTGCCACCATGTGACTAGTTCGACGTTAGGGCGGTGGTGGATCCTGGTATTAGTTTCGTCCTAGCTGGGCTTCCCGATGGAAACGCCGGACCCCTTCTCAGCCTGAGAGACCCTGCCAGGGAGATGAATCCCCCCGCTACACATCCCAGCCCAGTGCCGAAAACCGTTGGGATGAGCGTTGTTTCCTAGCTAACAGAAAACCGCTATGTGATGAAAAATGTTGATTTAATGTTGAAAGCAGCTGTTATCTTTTCGTATCGTATGGCTCTTATAGAGGTCGTGTCGTCGTCTAATTCTCAAATCCCGTATAATGAAGCGAAATCTTTCTTTTACCAGCTTTCGAGAAAGCTATGAGAGACACTGACCAACAAAATGCTTGCATTTAACTATTCTAGCGTGAAGGTTGCAAAGGTTGCGGCATCTCAAGATTCCAAGAAAAGCACGCCAAACCAACATTTAATGGACATGTCAGCAAGGGCAGTAAACCATAGACCGTAATGGACCGATATGATTGTCCTGCGTTCGTTGTATTTGGTTCGATCCTCGTTGCGTCGATCGAAAACCACTAGAAAACCAGGCCCTCCATCCTTCCTGAGTTTAAAAATTGGTGCCAGACTTACCTGGGAGGATGAGAACACGGATTTTATGCATCGGTAGGCACGCGCAGGTCATTTTACGGACCAAATATTTATTGAGTCACCGATCTGATGCTACGAATAGAGTCGAATAGACAGCGCCCCTTAATGGAATTGATTAACGCTACAGGATCTATCTTCTTCTATCTTTTTTTATCAGATGTAAGCTAGGGACCGTTAGTAAAAATTATCCCAATTCGCTGCATTTATGACTTAAAGGACGTTTGAGATTCTATAGTTCTCCTCATAAAACGCAAAGAGGAAAACCCCCAGTAAATAAGAAGTGATAATCGAATTTCGTAGTAATGTCAGAGGGAAAACGGAGGGTAAGCTCAATGCAATGGATGACGTTTAGCTAAACGAAACAGCGTAAAACACAACAGCGAAAGAACTCGAAGGACGCTTTACACAGCAGTATTGAATTGACTTGAAAGATTTCTTCAGAGATTTGTGTGATGTCTGTAAAACGTAATAGACTATGTATCAGAGACAGAAAGTGTTCATAGTTAGCGTACTTAAAGAAAAAAGGGATCGTTCTTTCAAAAAGTATCTATGAAAGATATGGTGCTACTAGTCTTCTCCAAACTCAGGTATTTTACCACCTCATCGTCGGTACCTGAACTCGCAAATGTCGAACTACTATTTATGGCAGAGTTGATCCATGACGGAGTCACATAAGCTGAAAACCAACCCAATGTTTTTTTTTTCAGGAAAGCCAATCAAGAGTGAGTCAATGGCAAGATTCACGACCATACTCGTAAAAACACTGTAGCAAGGTGGCAAATTTTCACCCAATTACCATAAGCCATACTGTTAAGTAATTCCTAGCACGACAATTTCTAATAGCGATTTAATGAGAAGAAAATCTTGCCCGATTAAAAAAAACCAACTAGGTTAGGCAGATAATATGGGAGAGCCTACCCAGGATTCATCGTAATATTCAAGTATTAAGTGAAGCAACTCGGTGGTCCATTAGCGTAGCACAGTTATTAGAGGTGTCCTGTAATACATGCGAGGTCTTTGCTTCGATCCTGTTCCTCGATCTCATTAAATTTTCTGAGAGGGTAGTAGCACTGACCTGATATGTCGGTAGGCCACTTTAAATTGCTGTATAGGCTAAATATGCGCGCATTAACCTCTACGGCGATTGGGGAAGTCGATTACATGAAGTATCCCTCAGAGATTGATTAACGCGAACGCTTTATTCTCTATCCTTTAATTCAGTGAGATTCAAAACATTTTTAATTTTCTTCGAGATTATAGTTTTTATACTAAACGAAAATGTAAAAATGAGGTCAAAAAGTTAATTAGAAACAAATTTTTATCATTTTTCTTGCAGTTAAAAGCCGATGGAGGAGTGTGCACGAATTCGACAAGGGGCACTAATGCGAGCCTGACCAATGCGGTTGCAAAGGCACTCGTCTCATGTTGAGGTTCGAACCAGCAACGGTGAGCTGGCCCAAGATTTGATTGCAATGCCCTATTCCACATCTTCGTTGTTGAGACTGTGAAGTTTGTAAACAAGGTGTATAAAAGGCAACAACGTAAGCTGAAATTTCTCATTACCTCAGCTTTTTTAGAAGACCTCTCTTTCACATTTACTGTGCAGACCCCAGTACTTCCCTCATTGGATTCGTTTCCTCGCATTCATTATCCGCGAAGGTCTTCCATCTTTTATGTGTAGTTTTGGCTGCTGCTTGGAGATTTTCCTTCCATCATGAATGTCTTTGAGCGCTGTCCGAGTCGATTCTACCTAGAGTCTTGAAATAGGCGGGCTAGGTAGTTTTTGCTTGGATTGAAGAGAGTGAACTTTTCTCAGACAAGTCCTATACTAATTTCTCGACACTGGTGGGATGGAAGGGCTTAGTGGACCAGAGTGGGATCGAATCAGCATCGCGTTCGCGATGATCGACATCACTACACCGTGCCACTCGTCCCCTTCTTAAGCTACTCTCAGAATAAAGATAACATGTGAAAGAGTTCGAAAAGTTTCCAGTTGTTTGAAGAGAAACTACTGTTTAAATTGTTAATATTATATTCCAACTATAATGTAAAAATCGATATATTTTTATAGCTATTTTAAAAAATCTGCAATAAACTTCAGTTATTCCCGGGCGAATTTCGAGGTGAACTAACTACTAGATAAATCGATTAGCCTTCCACTCTCATGCCCATGTATATCGGCCAATTCGCTTTTCAGAACTGATATCCTGGCTATCTACCATAATTTTATCCGAGCTCCTCAGACATAACAGCGAGGCCAACAATTTCATTCCTCGAGAGCAACGAGATAGGTGATTCGAGGGAGATTCAGCTCATCTGGTATTCAACGATATTCGTGACAAAGGTGAAAAAAGTCCTCAAGCAGTAGTCGAGCCAGATAAAAGAAAGTTCAAAGACCCTCGTGCTGAGTGCGAGGAAGAGAATCGAATGGAAAGAGCGCTGGATCACTAGTACCACTAAGTCCTTATGCAAGTCAGATTCAATCTTCTATTCAATGCAGTAGTCACTACTATGCTGCAAGAACAGTTTCGCGCCAGAATTAAATGAATCGAACATAACCCACCTTTCTGATGTAAAAAATTGATCTGATAAGAGCAGCAGACTGTCAGATCTTGTAGTTTTCGTTTTAACATCCTAAAACGAAATGCTCGAGATGAGAGATGGAGAGCTGAGGAAATACAGAGGATAATATGGACGAGAATGTTCAAAACCAAAAGAAAGCCAAGTATTCGAAATATTTTGTAGAAAAAGATGTTATCGAATCACTATTGTGGAAAAGAGCCGTAAACACATAGTGGTGACGGTGTGAGTTATCGTTGCGAAAAGTTATAAACGTACTAAAGATGAACGCCAAACTTGCATAGAATACGAAGTCGACGTGATAATAAAGTGATTGGTAAAGCAGTGATGGGACTGTTTACGTAAGAAGGTCCTGGAGTCAGCAGAAATCACGTGCTACCGGGGAAGTATTAAGCGATGCCCAGTCCGACGGAGAGCAAGGCAAAAGTGGAAGATAGGAAGTGGTAGTGGTGTCGTTTACCCACTTACGTAGGCATTCTCGAAGGAT